TAGCATATCTCTGATGTCCTTCTCTGTGTGTCTGTGCAGTGGAGCGTGTGCCTCTGCTGGGTGGTCTTCTGTCGGTGGGTCTTCAGCTCTTCTGTCTCTGCTCCTCCATCTCTCTGTCTCTGCTCACCATCGCCGCCGGCTGGATCTACTATCGCCCCCTGCTGGCCCTGTGTGTAGCGGCTGCTGCGCTAGTGCTGCCGCTAGCCCTGGCACACGCTAGAGCGCCCGCCAAGAAGAGGCAGTGACCCGACACACACACACACAGGCGCACACTCCAGTGACACGCAAGTACATGTGTGTGTGACCTACTGCAGAAACAAAGGGTTGACCTCATGTATGACAGCGACACACACACACACACCCATACAAACACACACACACATACAAACACACACACACACACACACACCACTGTTACACCACACACAGACGTCAGCTGAGCGAGGCGCGTGATTGGCTGCAGCACACACTGTGTTGAGTGAGAATCTTCAATAAAGCTCGTCCTGCAGCTCGCCGTGTCTCTGTGTGTGTCTGAGCGCTCAGACGGGGGGACGCCACTGTCACATGAGGAATTTATTAATCATGGAGCTCACACAGACGGAGATACTGTAATGACGGAGCGTTCAGCCGTGACACACACACACACACACACACACACACACACACACACGCGAGTGTCTTATCAAGGTTTTAATACGCAATGATAGTAAACGGGTGTCCTGTGCGGGACAGAGGAGCGCCTCAGGGTGCTGCAGAGTCTGGTCCTGATGGGCTCTTTGCATATTTGATTTGCAGACAGTCTGAGACGAACACAAGCGGTAAACACTGACAGGAAGTCGATCTCCGTCACACCAGCAGGCATTTGCTGCTCTTCTTGCCCTTGCGCGCCTGCAGCGCCGCCCTGGTTGCCATCTCGAACACCTCCCGCACGCCGTCCTTGGATTTGGCAGAGCACTCCATGTAGCCGAAGGCACAGATGCGGTTGGCCATGTCCCGGCCCTCCTCCGGCTTCACCGGCTCCTGCAGGCGGGAGAGAAAACACACGTATTTAATTTAAAAGGGGGAAAGAACTCTAGTGCGATTCAATCCAACTAAACAAGGCAGGTGTGAAAGCAGCCTAAAATAAAAGTGAACCCATCAAGCCAAATCCCCATCACATGTACCACACCAGCGCGGGCGTGTGGAGCTCATCCCCGGATGATGATGATGTCAGAATCTAGCGCTATTCTGGAATGGGTGTGTGAACGGTCTTTTCAGAACGTCCTCGCCTGTGTGAACAGCGCTTTTCTGAAGTTATGATGCAGTTGCTCCAGTAATGTGCCGCTACCCCTGTGTGACGGGCTAATCTATATCTGCTCTTAGCAGTGCTCAGCAGGGCTTCACTTGCTCCTGGATTTACCCTCACTAGTTGTCTGGTACTGTCTTTAAGCACAATTCCCACACACACTCCAATCTCCGACCACCTCCGTACACATAAATCAGCTTCCTGTTCTGACCTCAGGCCAAGAGCTGAGACAGCACCAATCAGAGGCCTCCTCACATCATCCGGTACTGTAGACGTCTTGCAGAGTATTTACAGTGTTTTAACCTACACAACACAACTACAGCATGA